CCAGTCAAACCACTGTATAGCATCCCCTTCAATATGTATAGCAGTAATTTTCACCATAGATGTATCCGCGATTTTATGGTACCGAAAATATCGCTCTGCGTGCGAGATCCAACCAATCGGGTCTCCTTCTTCCCATCTAGGGAAGTCCACTCTCATGCATGGATAGTTGGGGTTGGTCATAGAGTTTCCCCTCTCTTGGAAGTCATATCTTTGGGCTTGGTGCGATTGGGCAAAGCTCTCTCCTTGATGTGATTTCTTCGGACTTAGTGGTCGGCCCAATCTGAGTTCGGTAAAGAGCGTCCGAATCTTATCCTCCATTCGCGCCTCGAAGGCTTCGAATTTAGCATTGATTACCTCCTCAGATGTCATAGTATATGCTGCCAAAATCTGTGATATTAAGATCTCTCTTTTGTTATCAGATTAAAGGCATGTATTGGTTGAGAGAGGTGATGGTCGAAAGGGTTGGTAGATCGGTGGATGTAGGCTACGGTTTAGGCTTGTTTTGTGGCTATTTTGGGTGCAGTTTGAGGGTGTGGTTTAGCGGAGTTTTAGGGCTGTAGATGAAAGTTTTGGATCTTTGGTAGATGGTAGCAAAAGTTTGATAGAAATAAGTGGAAGTTGCAGCAAGTATGTGCTGTCTTGTAAGAGTAGAGTTGTCGTCGATGAAACAACGGTTTCTCGATGTAATTTCTACCAAAAACTTGAGAAAATTGAGGAGGGAATTGATAGCAAAATCACAGTTTATATGACAGTAAGGATATCTAATTTAATCAAGAAAATTTTGGCAGTATAATAGCAAAGAAATTGGTGCATGTTGCGATTACATAATTCTCGTCGAGAAATTTCAACGGGTACGACAAAAATTTGCAGCAACATAAAATCGTTTTTAGAGATGAATTTCTTAATAGATCAATCTTAGATGGAAGCCAAGATGATCTATGAAGTATATAAGAAATTTCATTCAAAAAAGATTGCAAATAGATGGGTTAAGGCAACAATATGCGGCTGAAAGTTTTTACAGCACAGATTTTTAAGTATAGCAGATTGGACGTAAAAGATCAGTAGTTTATATTGAGAATTTTTTGATGAAACCAAAGGGAATTCCACTGTTAGGAAGTGTCAAAGCTATCATAAAAATTTTGTAGAGATTTTGATAGAAACAACATAGTATCAAGATCAAACAATCAGTGCTATGCGGCTGAAATTTTACAGTGCAGATTTTCAAGTATAGCATATTAGACGTAAAATATCAATGGTTTATATTGAGAATTTTTTTGACAAAACCAAAGAAAATCTGCTGTTAGGAAATGTCAAAGATGTCATAAAAATTTCATAGAGATTTGGATAGAATAAACACAGTAGCAAGATCAAACAGATGGTGTTATACAGTTAGAATTATGCAATGTATCTTTCGTCGTAGAGATGAAAACTTTATGACGAAAAGTTCATGCAGCAATATAAGAATAATTTTTTTGGGATTTTCAAATAAGGATAACTAAATTGCAGCAGCAGTAAGGTAGAAAATCAAAACCTATTGCAATTCATCGGGAGATCAAAGGATGATCCGTGGTGGTGGAGATGACGGCGGAATTTGACAACGATCTCTTAAGCAATTGTGGGAATTGCTTTGGGCGGTTATGGAGGGTTGATGGATGGCTGTGGAAGGGCAGCGAGACGCCAAGAATGCTGCTCTGATACCAGGTGTTAGAACCCTTGCAGATTCTAAACTTGGGGTTGATCTCTTTAGGGGATCGGCCTCCTTGGAACTCTATAGGGGTTCCTCCCTCCAAGTTGCTGCTCAAAGGCTGCAGAAAAGATTTATCTATTGCTTATCAAAAGAGGAGGAATACAAGGCTATTTATAGAGTTTCTAAACTCTAACTCCTAATAGGACTCCTACTCAAGACTCCTACTTCTAACCAACTCCTAATAGGACTTCTACTCAAGACTTCTATTCCTTTACAACTCCTAATTCATCTCTAAGAAACAACCTCCTAACCCTAGTCGGCCTCTTCACCTCTTTAATAGGGGTCGACTTAGGTAGGTTTTAGATGAATGTCCCTCTCAATTAGGACTCTCCTAATTAGAGTCCTAACAAAATTCTGCATACTTTTCTCAACATATAGATTAGATCAAATAATTTACAATTGACTTCATCATCAAAATCTAAGATTCAACATTGTAACCATCCAAGAAAAAGGAATAAGGCTTGTATATGTCGGTGACCTCAATATAGGAGGAATCCGTAGGTCACAATGACCATACGACTCTAAATGCTGGTTTGTATTTCTATTATCATTATTTACTTACTTTGCAATTGCTTCACTTTCACCTTACGTGGCTTTCGCTACTCTATTGACCAAACATGTCTTTAAGTCATTTTCTGATATTACTTTCGACGAATGAAAAATATTCAAAACCAACGATTTTTTCATTGCATAAATTCACCCCGACCCTCTTAGTGCAGCTCTTGATCCTAACAGTTTCATCGAACGAAAGTTTTTAAATCAAATTTTTTTAAAAGTACTAATTCACCCCCTTTAGTGTTTTTACAATCCTAACATTTGTATGGTCATTATAGTATTAATTTCTTCTTTAGTGATAACTATAATTGTGTTTATGTAATAAAATTTTATCCACTTCCTAAGTTTGCCAATGGAATTTGTATATAAGTGTTTGTATAATACATTTTAGAGACTAACGCTCCCAGCCCAACGAAAACCCAAGAGCCGTATAACATTATCTATAGTCGCCATAAGCTTCCCTGTGAGAAAAGCAAGATCAAACCTAAACAAATCATTTACCATCCCAGATTTACATAGTCAAAGAAAACTCTTATCACTCATCTCACATATCCATAACATATTAAATAAATTTAATACAACCTCAAAGGATCTAATATCCAAATCCCTATAACAAAAGAAAAATTTTAAATACTTCACTATTTTTTTCCATCAGATCCACCTATTACTTGTAATATGCATATAACAGAATAACTATTTTTTTTTTCAAGGTAATAGATTTTTAACACAGATCTGAAAATATTTAAAGGTAATATATACATAGCGACATTATAGAATCATATTTGACCTCATGATATAAATAACATATTTATCTCTATATTAGGGTCTAGGATAAATTAGATTTTAAATAAATACTAATATTTAAATCTTACTTTTTTTAATAAATAATATATATTTTTTAGAACGATACAGAGAAGATTAGCATGGTCCTATACAAGGATGACATGTAAATATTTAAGCTTTGTCGTTGTAGACCAAATTATAGTCATACTAAACAAACAACTGAGACATCACATATCATATGTCAAATATTTATATAGTTATTTACAAACTATTTTATAGAATCATGTAGTATTTTTTAAAATTAACTTTGTAACTAATTTTATAATTTTTTGAACCATAAAATAATCTGTGAACCAATAGTTACCTGCAAGACAGAGATATAACTTTTTTAAAGATTGCAAGCATATATAATATATTTTTAATACTTTTTAAATGAAAATTATTTTATAGATCAATCAAAAATCATTTTAGTAACATATATGTCATGTTAGATGGAATAGTTTGAATACTTATCTTGATCTTAGACTATTAAGACCGGTGATGAAAATCTTTCATCTTTTTCTAAATTTTGCAAGGAACATAAATTAAAATTACATATAAAATCTTAGAATCTAATGTATCATGCTTGCATAATTTAATTTATTTTTTATTTTTTTTCTTGTCTTTCTCCTTAACTTATTTATTTTTTAATCTGTCTTATCTTGTTTTTCATCGTCTTTTCTTTTTGTTTTTTTTCGTTTACTTTAACCTTTTTTCCCCTCCCATTTTTCCTCCTCTTCGTCGCCCAGGTTAGGTGACAGCGACACAAATTTTTTCTTATTTTCTTTTATTTCCCCTTTCTCCTTTTTTTTTTGTGTTGCTTCTCTCTCTCTCTTTTCTTTCCTAATCCCTATTAATTTTCCTCGTGGTTAGCACGATCTTTCGTGCACCACCATGTGCTCCCTCTCCTCTTCTTGGGTACACTGCCATATGCCGACACCAAGCTGTGGCTTGGCTTGCTGTGGCAATCAAGTTCTTTTTGGTTTTCTCTTTCATTGCTTCTATGGCTTACTAATGGCAGCCTCTTCTTCTCTCAACATGGTTGTTGACAACCTTGCACGCCGCAGCATGCCAATATCCTTTACTTTTTTTTTTTTCCAATTTATAATATACTCTAAAATTTGATCAAAATCTTATAAATATATATATCCTTACCACATCATATAAGATCTCCATCAAACGCTCAGAATATATTTCTTAGATAACCCTTAAATCATAATATATAAATATGCCTTGATTATCAGATCGTAGATCATTAAAAATTTTAGGAATCAACTCATACATGTTTAATGTGAAGATCGGATGATCGATTGATGATGTATATGTTTTGAGGATTGATAAAAATTTTAAAAAATTAAGAACATATCTAAGATTAATTTTTGAGAATAAGATCTTGATCTTTCAATGTCATTCCCCATTCTCCTTGCATAATCTTATGGGTTTCTTCATATGACATATAGAGAGTTCACCAGATAAGTATTTATATATTATATCACTTAATAAATCCTAAAAATCCTTGTGGCATAAAATTTTTTTCTATTAGGATTTTAATTTTTATAAATATATTCATAAATCCTATAATTATATTAATATCTATTAGTAGCTGAATACGAGGAACTACATAAAGAGAGTCTCCTTCGATGAGACTACAGGAAAGGAGGTGGGAGGAATGTAGCTCCTGGTTTCTGCCATTTGAACTGGTGATGGATTTAGCTCTTTGGACATCGTCTTCTTGCTCTTGCACAAGAATCTGTAGAAGCTTTCTAACTCTGTGACAACTTTAAGTCCAACACAACTAAACTTCAAGATGGTAAGCAAAGATAAACAGGAAACTGGAGATCATTCTCATAGGGTTAGGTAATTGGAACAAATCTATCCTACATGAGAACAATGTTCCCCCCTTAAATCCAATAGTTCCATGGACAATCAATCCTAGCACAAACTTCTCTTCTATTTGTGCTTGATGTCACTTCCACTCCCTACACAAATGATTACAAATGCAGCAAACAAAGAAAAATCTGCTTGGTAAGAGGAAGCAACTGCTAGATCATGCTTCTTGCAGTTAATGTCACTGAGCACTTGTGAACTGTAACATCAGCCATTGCAAAAATCTGTCATCGTTTCATTGACTAATGCTTGAAGTATGTGTCCTTCTATCGCGTTGCCTGCCTCAAATACCTCGATCCCACAAGTTTTCCATATTGCAGTTGAATTTTTCATCTCCTCCTGAATCAGATCATCTAAGAATTTCCCGGACAAATTGACCCACCCTCTTATCTCCTCATGAACTTCTCTTATCAACAGATCTTCGGTCAGAGAGAAAGGAGTTCTCAACGATTTCCCGTTCTTACCGAAATGTTTGCACTTCGAATCCAGGGACTGAATCATGCAGTCAAAAAGACATTTTTTTAGTTGATATTTTCCCTTTGCGTCTTTGTCACCGGAAGTAATCTTTTGATCTTCAGAAGAACCTATAATAGCTTCCAGCACGTCTAGAAGAATAGATTCGAGAACAAAATCGGCTATCCAAACTGAAGCGTATAGTGCGAAGTTCATAAATGTCGTCTCTGAATTTGAAATGGTTCGCCTGGCTTCACAAAGCTTAGTTCCTGAGATTCCAGCTTCGGATGAGTGAATGCTGGACTTACTGAGCATATTGTCAGTGGAATGCTGAATCTTCCCAATAACAGACTCCATGATGCCTGATGAAGTTGCTGAATCTAAAAGATCAATGTCCATATCCAAGGATGGTTCTGTGCATTGGTTCTCTGTCAAGCTGAACCTTGATTGATTTGCTGAATCTAAAAGATCAATGTCCATATCCAAGGATGGTTCTGTGCATTGGTTCTCTGTCAAGCTGAACCTTGATTGATTTGCTGAAACTAAAACATGAATTGGAGAAAAAAAATCCATCGATTCAATAGCTAAAGAATGCCAAGTGCTAACCTCGTTAATTAGCTTCTCTATGCAATTGCACAAAGAATATATTTGAAATCTAATTCTTAGACAATGTAACTAGATCTGTTCCGTTGACATATTACTTCTAATAACAAATGCAATCTCACCTGAACTAGCATGGATACTTACATAAGAGCAACTATCATTCGAGATAGAAGCTTCAAGAATAGATACTGGGCTGGTTTGATCATACATAAGTCCAGCAGAAGTCTCAAATTTTGCCTTTTCCTGAAAAGAAAAGGGAGTATTTGTATTTGTCAGAAAGAATAAAAAACAACTCTTAGTGATCAGACTTCTCTTGAGAGGTTAAATTCATATTCAAGGTGGAACTTTTATTGATTACATCTGTCCTGACGCTGTCATCTGCCAGTTTCATGTTTCAAAGAACTAATTGTCCTAGGTAATATCAAGTAGCCGTGACTGTCATAAGGTCCAACCTTAGAATACTGCCATTAGTAATGTTACAAAGATCTGAATTCAAGTAAATTACAACAGAACAGAAGTACAATTTTACCTGAGCTTCGGTTTGGATATTACACAGCTTCTGTTTGGGGACGGAAAAATCAGAGAGATTGGTGTGAAGAGAATACAAGCCCTCTGTTTTGGAGGACCCATTTTGGTCGGCTGTACGAGTCCCAGTTTTGAGGCTAATCATTAGTTCTTCAAGAATGGAAGCATTGGGTTGAGCATCCTCCCTGATCCTTTTTTCTATGGGCCTGCTTATTTCTTCCCCTTCTAATCTCGTTCTTCTCTGGAAAACTGGATTGGTGTTAATTGAATCCGACAATAGCTTCTCCCTCGCAGAAAGTCGAGCATTGAGTTGATATCGGTTCCTGCACTTCTCTGCCAGTTCTTCATGTGACGAAGAGTTTGCAGATTTCCTCATTGGTGACTTGAATGTGAATGAAGCCATTTCGCTATACCAACCTCTGAAGTTATCAGTTTCCTTTTTCTCCTTTGTTAAGCTACGTTCAACACATCTTCTGCAAATGGGTTGGTTAATAGGAACTCCAGTCTTGCTTCCACTAAGCAAGTCCCTTTCGTTGCTACTTTCCCTAACAAAAGCTGGACCAAACACAACAAAATCATCGTTGTGAAAACTGATGCTCTTTCTTTTGCATGAGATGTTCTTTCCCCAACAGTTCCTTCCCAGTTGCACTCTGTGGTTGTTCATCACTTCACCAATTGATGTCATGCACCTTGGTTCTTTCATGGTGGTGCCGATCGCTGAGAAACCCTGGTGCCCCTTCAGCTCAGTGAAGTCACTTCGACTCTGCTTCCTACTACATGCCGTGGCACCATAAGTCATTTGCTCTGCTGCTTTCTCTCTGAGCATTGCTGCTTGATTATGCCGTAAGTTGTTCACCTTCGGAGTAATGTTATCTGGCTTAAGCTTGCATACATTCCGATGATTCTGTAAATGTTGTTTCCTCTCAAAATCGTCACATGCGTTGTTCTGCACATTGATCTGAGACTGAACAGCAGGATTCAGTTTGCTCTTTTGCTCGGCCAGTGTGAGTAGTGACATTGTATTTTTCTCCATGGAGTCTTGCCTGGAGGAAGAAGCAATACTGAACTGGAAAGCAGATGAACCAAAACGAGTGGTGAATGGCTCTCTTTCATGTGTCCCTAATCCAGGCATTTCAACCAAACTACCATAACCCATGCAAGACCTGAATTCGAAGTCACTGAGGGGCTCCTTGGATCTCTTCAAGCAAGTAGCAGCAGCAGCAGTAGCTTCTGCACCGGGTGGGGAAGGAACTACATATGCAATGGAACATTTGGCACGATTTCTGGGCTGCGAACCAGGCTCCAAAATCTTTGTAGCAGCCTGCATCAACCGAGCCCTGTGACTGCCGGAGAGCAGCCTCGGGCTCTTCACCGGGGACATCAGCTTATGATGGTTAATGCTCGAGCAGGAGGACGTCACATTCTTGCCAAATACATTCGGTCGAACACGTCCATCGTGTTTGACCGGTTGCCTCTGCAATAACTCCTCCGTCTTTCGAAGCTTCTGAGGCCTTGATTCTGTCTTCCCAAACCCACTTGTGCCTGAACGCAACTCCTCGTCCCCTTCGTAAACAAGATTGCAACCTATGGCCTTTCTTGGCCTTTCATTGACAGAAACAGGCATGGACTCCAAACCCATGAGCCTTGCCACCAGTCCGGGGGTTTGCACAGCGTTGCCAATATCAGCATCCAGCTTTTTCTTGCTTGGAAAACCTCCCCGATTCTCTTCAGCAATCTGAACATTTTGGAGGTGGATCGAGGCACTCAGCGAAGATCCAACCATTCGACATTAGAAAAAGGAAGCCAAAGGAAAAGAAAACGATGAGTACCAGAAGCAACTTGGCCATGGGCATCTTGTCATCAGTACAGAACTTCTTCGACGCCCTTCTCGCAGCATGGGCTGTCAACAACGAGGAACATATCATGGAGTGAGCCAACAACGGTACCATCACACACTGGTGGGGTCAAGTTGCTGTCGTGACGTACCTGGAGGGAGGAGCTTCTTGGAGAAGAGCTTCTTCTTAGCGAACCGACGATTCCAATCCAGGAACTGCAAGAAGATGCCGACGCACCCGCTCGGCCGCTGTCGCTGCTGTTCCCTCTTCTCCGTGATAGCCAAACTCATCTTCCCACTCCTTCCGACCCTTCTGCTGAGAACAGGAAATTGAGACCAGAAGAGGAGAACTAAGATGGTATTTTGTGGCACCAATCATCCGTGTTTAGGAAGCGAAGCAGCAGTTCAGCTGTCAGACAACATCTGCATCCTTCACACATAGATATGTGCATGCCTATGTGTGTGTCAAAACACCCAGTCGATCGGAGTGCAGAGCGAGAAGAGGAGGAAGAAAGGATGGCTGGCTGAATAAGAACGGAAATCTGCAAAGAAGCTTAGAATGGAGGGTGCGGTCTCGGAGGGGAATGTGGCTTGCGAGAAAAGTATTCATCTTTCTAGTTTTTTCTTTTACTTATTTTACTGGGTCGGAGGAGGAGGAAACGGTGTCCGAAGTAGGTCTAGCGGTTTGTTCTGCGCTCGCCCGTGTTAGAATGGAGGAGGACTAACGTAGGCTGTGACCACTGAAGCGACAAGTCTTGTCTCTTATGCTGCGGCTCAGAGGACAAGCTGAGCCAACCAGAGAGAGAGAGAGAGAGAGAGAGAGAGAGGATAGAAATATATACTACGTTTCACTTTGAAATACAAATCCCAGCTAAATCCTAGATTGATCCGGATGAGAATTTTGGATAGGCTTTTGTGGAATTTTTTTTTAAATCTGATCAATCCAAGATATTCTTCGGCTATGATATCCATCCGTCCTCAACTTAAAACAATTATTATTATCTTCTGTCTTCTGTGCATTATGGGGAATATCCAATGGCCAAACTCTGTTTTATCTGAAATATATCTTCTAACTGATCTTTTCAGATAATATAAAAGTTCAACTTATTATCATGCATGGTTCCTATTTTTTAATTAATTGGGACTCCGGTGCATAAAATTCAATTAGTCGATTGGGTTGTCTCATTCACATCATGAGTAAAAGAATATTCTTAGACTAATATATTTAATTTTCTATGATCATTCAAACTCATTATCATCTTTGTTTGTTTTTTTTGAACTCCTCACTAAACACACTCATGATCTAAATATTTTTTACTTTCTAGAAAATTCTTCCCCAATCGAATTTCTGACTCACTTCTAGATGTGACATCACTTGAATCATAGGTCAAGTATGATTATTTTTTCCATGTACGAATGATGATCAAAATTGATCATCTTATTATCATGCATGGTTGATATTTTTTAGTTAATTGGGACTCTGGTGCACAAAATTCAATTAGCCACTCACATGATGAGTAAAAGAATATTCTTTGACTAATATAT